GCCAGGGTGAAGTCTTATTAAATACAAATGGGAGAGTGTATACTGTAGAGATGCTGATCCTCTCAGAATGGATATGTATATTTAATGTAATAACAATTTAAAATCCTGAAAGAATTTTTGTAGCAAACTTAATAAAATGGTTTCAGAGTTTGTCTGGAAGCATAAACTTGAAAGAAGAGTCAGACAATAAAAAGCTATGATAATTAAAACGCATGTGTGCATGTGTAGAAGTAGGCAGACAGATCAATAAAACAAGTCTAGAAATAAACCTAAGTATACATTGGAACTACATAAATTACTAAGAGGACAATTCAAACTGATGGGTCAAATATGGTATTTAAATAAAACAAGCAAGTCACAAAAAAGATAAATACTGTATGATTCCACTTATATAAGCTATCTAAAATAGTGAAATTCACAGAGATACAAAGTGGAACTTTGGTTACCAGGACCTAGGGGGAGGGGAAAAGGGAGAGTTGTTTTTCAGTTGATAGAAAGTTTTGGTCTTGCAAGTTGAAGAAGTTCTAGAGGTCTGTTTTACAACAATGTTCAAAATAACAGTTAAAAATGGTTAAGATGGTAAACTTTATGTTATGTGTGTTTTACCACAATTAAAAAATTTTAACAGTATTCCAACATTCAGCCAGCCATTGGATAAGGTCCATACCTCGTTAGATTCCAGGTAGAATAGATACAACAATGGTGAATATTTAGAGAATGAACACCAATCCTCCTCAAACTGTTCCAAAAATTGAAGAGGAAGTAACACTTCCACACTCATTATGAAGTCAAGATTATCCTGATACCAAAAATCAGACAATGATACTATCAAAAAAAGAAAACTACATCAATATCCCTTATTATCATTAATGCAAAACAAAATTACATAAAACATTGATCCTCCACAAAATACTAGCAAATCAAATTCAATACCATATTACAATACACCATGACCAAGTGGGTCTACTCTTGGAATGCAAGGAAAGTTTAATATATGAAAATCAATCTATTAATATACCACATAAATGGAATGAGGGAAAAAAACAAATGATTATCTCAACTGATGTGGAAAAAGTATTTGACAAAGTTTAGCATCATTTCTTGATAAAAACACTCAACAAAGTAGGAACAGAAGAAAACTACCCCAACATAGTAAAGGCTATATATATGAAAAGCCCCAGCTAATGGCATACTCAATGGTGAAAGATCAAAAGCTTTTCCTTGAAGATGAGCAGTAAGACAAGGATGCCTGCTCATGCCGCTTCTGTTCAACATAGTACTGGAAGTCCTAGCTACATCAACTAGGCAAGGAAAAGAAATAAAAGGCATAAAGATTGGAAAGGAAGAAAAAAGGGATCTTTGTTCACAGATGACATAATCTTATATGTAGAAAACCCTAAGGATTCCAGGAAAAAAATAAACAAATTCATCAAAGTTGCAGAATGCAAAATCAACAAAAAATTAGGTGTATTTCTGCATACTCACAATGAACAATCCAAAAACAAAACCAAGAAAGCAATTCCATTTGCACTAGCATCAAACATATAAAATACATACTTATGAATAAACATAATCAAGGAAACTATATCAGTTTGCTAGGGCTTCCACAACAAAATACCATGGACTAGGTGGCTTAAACAACAGATACTATTTTCTCACAATTATGGAGGCCTGGAAATTCAAGATCAAGGTGTCAGCAGAACTGGTTTCTTTTGAGGCCTTTCCTGGGCTCGCAGATGGGCACCTTCTGGCTGTATCCTTTTACGGCTGTCCCTCTGCACTGTCTGTGACCTAATCTCCTCTCCATATAAAGTCACTAGTCATCATGGACTAGTGACCACTCTAACAACTTAACTTGATGTGGGTCTTTTAAAACTCATTCAGTCTGGTACACAATGAACACTTAATTTGAAGATTTCTTTCTCAGCTTTAGGAAATTTTCTTCCTTTCTTTCAAATTCTGTATTCTCATCTTGTGGAATTTATGGTCTGAAGGTGCATTTATGGTCTGAAAAATACAGTCATATCTTCTGTTTTGGGGACTTGGAACAGGAGGGAGAGTAGTCAAGTGTACACTTGGACCCAGTTCTTCCATTAGCTTTTAATAGTTGGAAACTTACTTTCCAAGTTCTTGAAGGAATTCAGCATTGTTTTATAAGAATAAAAAAGATGATGTACTAAGTGTGAAGTAACACTTGAGTAGCTCTCTGTTATGGGAATGTAAGCAGAGAAAGTCATTATTCTGGGATTAGGACATAGCTTTTTTGAGTTAATTAAGGTGGCCATTAGGTTTCTAATATATTAACTTAGTCCCCAAGAAAGAGCTGGATAAATTTATATAAGGAGGCCAGGGTCTTCTGGGCTAGAAGGAATTGATACTCAATCACTGCTCTCTAAGACAAGAGGTTAGAGAGCCCTATGGATATTGACTGGCTGGCCTTGGCCAAAGGACAGTGGCAGGGAAGAGTAACAAGGTCTTTGAGTAATTAACTTCTGTAAGTGGGAGTCCAGACTGATGTCCTCTGGGGTTAATTTCAGCACTGCAGATGGCTGATGCTCAAAGCAGTTCTGGTACAAGCTAAGCAACGTTTCAGAATTAGCAGCATTGCCCACTGAATGTGCAGAATCAGTTTCCTACTACAAAGGGGCAGCATAAAGCAAAGGTATAATTAACTAATTGGATGCCTATACTTTCTTTGCTGGTGTGTGGAAGTTGGACAGACTTCTCGTACCAGATTATATTCTTGGTGATTTGAGAGTAAATCAGGGAGATGAAACCGAAGAAGCTGATGTTGAAGATCTTATTAATCTATTTTATGCAATCTCTAGATAATTTTCATTCTATGTAAAAAATTTTATAGGAGATGTAATTATCATTTTACCACAATTTTAGGAGCAAGCCAACTTACGTCCACCCATAGGGAAATTAGTGAAAAAATTGTGCTGTGTCCATACAATGGAATAATGCTATGCACCCATCACAAAGAACTATACAGAACTATATAACTGAAGTAGGAGAATCTCCAAGACTAACATTTGAGTAGAAAATATATAATGTTTTTATAAAATTATTTAGTTATATATAATATCCTTATGAATATATACAGGTCCAGAAATTAGGTTACCAAAATTTAATGGCAATTGGCTCTAGGTGGTGATTTAGATATGTTTTGCTTTCTTTTTTACACTTTCCTGTATTATTTAATTTTTTAAAAAATTTACTATAATGAACATATTTTATCTTTATGAAACAGTTTTTTAAAAATGGAAAGTGACCAGAGATGTTATAAGGAATGATAGTAATATAATAATAGTAGAGTAGTAGCTTACTGTATATCAGAAACTATGCTAAGTATTATATGCATTATCTGACTTATTCTCACAACTCGGTGAGATTACTATTCAGTTTTGTGATATTGAGGAAACCGAAGCTTGAATAGTTTAAGTACTGTCCATACTCACAGGGTTAATAAGGGGTGGGGGCAAGATTAAAGTCCAAATTCCCTGGCTACAAAGCAAGTCTCTCTGGTTTGAACCACAAGAGAGTTGGATCTCTAGAGCTAACAGAGAAATTCAACATCTTAAATATAATCTACTTTCAACCCTACTAGTCAGAAAAGGTATTTCCTCTTTTACCTTTCCAGAAGAAAGCACTAAATATAGTAAAAATCTCCAGCACCGAAGTCACTACCAACTAAAGACAGAAAACCTGTGGTATTTGCTACAATGGTAGATCCAATGAACCATACCTTCCAGTACTGGAAAGCAGCATAGTCCCCTCTTCTTGAATATGGCCCTTTGACTTGCTTTAACAAACAGAATATGGTGGAAGTACCAGTTCTGGGCCTAAGCCTTGAGAAGGCCTTTCAGCTTCCACTTTTGCCTTTTTGGGAGTCCTGAATCACCATGTAAGAAGCCTGACTACTCTGCTGGGGAAATTATGTGGAAAAGTCACTTGGAGAAGGAGAGGATTTGAGACTACAGAAGAGAGAGACCCAGTCATTCCAGCTGAACCAGCCTCCAGTTAATGTTACTACCAACAGCAAGTACTGAAGAAGAATGGCCTGGGGTGGGGGTGTCCTAATCCCAGCCCACACTGGGATGTTTTTAATTACACATTTTGGAGTGGTTTATTACATAATAGGTAATAAAAACACCTCTTTAACTTTCCTTGGATGACTACTGATACACTCAGTTCTGCATAAAGGTGAGATCGCCATTCCTTACTCCCTAATTCTGTTTTATAGCAATAGTTTACCAGAAGCTTTCACATTAATTACATGGACCTAGGGAAAAAAAAAAAAATTTAATGGAAACCGGTACTAGGTGAGGATCCAGAGACTTTACTCCTGGTTTTGTTACTAGTTGTATAACTTTTGCAAGTAATCACCCTTTAATCTCAATTGTAAAATGGGGAAACTAATGCTCAATTTTCCAGAGGGTAAATATTCATGTAACCGAGTTGAAAAGAAAATGAAACGCATTTAACAGCGCTTTCAGCTCAAGAGGCAGGTAAAGAAATACAAAGAACATGGACTTGATGTCATCAGGGTGTAAGATCTTGAACAAACGACCCCAAATTCTTCCTCTGTAAACGAGACTACTCTGTCTTATCTCACCGTTTATCTGTGATGTTTAAATGAGATATCCAGGAGACCTGTTGCACAGTAAGCGCTAACTGCCCGCCATCAAATCCAAAAGCACTTTCCCCTGCCCCTCGCCCGCCGCTTATATATTCTGACCAACCCCAAAGACTGATTAGTAAGTCTGTAGTGAGGCCGAGAATGCAACTTTGTTTCAAAAAAAATCTACATTTGTAAAAAACAAGTTACCTAGCAGATTCTAATGCAGGTACCTTCTTCACGCAAGACTCCACTTGCTACCACCCCCCTTTTTCTGTCAAAGGGAACCGCGAACTCCAGATCTCGCGACAGTTTCTTCTTTCTTCAGAGTCTACTACAGATCGCGCGAGGTGTTGATGGTCCAATCGCGAAGCTAGATGGCTGCTCAAGATGGCAGCGCGCTGGGAGCGTACGTTGTGCGTTTCTAGGAGCTTCGCGCTGCGGGTAGCTTAAGATTCTCGTGTTAGAGGCCCACTCCAAGTTGGTGGTTGGCTGGAATTTGGACTCCATAGGTGAGTCGTTTATTATCCTTCATGCGGGTTGCTAGTTTACTCCATCCATGTATCACTCATGTTTCTCATTCCCAGGTTTTGGGCCCGTGGGGTGCTTACTTCGGGGTCTTAGGAGAGACCCAGTTGGGGGTGGGGTTGGGGGGCGGGGAGTTCACAAATAGACTGCAGACTAGGATTGAACGAGGGAAGACCCTGAGGGCTGAGGTGGTTTAGAGATACCTGAAACTGAGGTGGGAACACAGACTGAATGGGTAAAATGAGGGTGTGGAAGGAATGGAAGAGAGGGAGAACTGGTGGTGGCGGAACCACAAAAAGTCGGATTTATGAGGGAAGGCAACGGGGTAAAAACGGAGGTTGAGGTTGAAGTGGGAGGACTCTGTTATGAAGAAATTAGGACTTACGAAAGCGGAATTCAGACTGCGTTAAGTGGTAGTTGAAGATTATTTAAGGGTCAGGAGAAATCTCCTTGGCTTTTTGGGCGGTCTCGGGCAACCCGGAAGAAAAAAACCCAACCCTAGGACTGAACCTTTTTGAGAGTCGAGGTAGGGGACTGTTTACCAAGAACGAGGATGCTGTTTTTCAGTGGTCTGGACGGTGAAAATAGTTACACATCATGTTATTAATCAACAAGTCTTACTAAGTCCCTACTCTCCCAGGCCCTAATTTAGATGCTGGGAAATCACAGTGAACAAAATAGACAGGAGGTGTTCCCTCATGAAGTTTTTTGGCAGGGCCATTTTTTCAGAAAGTAAAATAAGTAAAACGTATGGAATATATGGAATGTCAAATAGGTAAATTCATGTAAAGATTGAAGCTAGTAAGGGAGACCAGGAGTGTGTTCACTTTAAGTAGAGGTAGTCAGGAAAGACATCAGTGAGAAGGTGACATTTGATTCGAAGACCTGAACAAGGCCAGGGTATCTTGTATGTATGTATTTCTGGGGAAAGAGAAATCCATGCAGACTATTAGCAGATACAAAAGTCCTGAGACAGATGTATACCAGAATTGGTAAATAAGGAGGTCAATGCAGCTATAGTAGAATGAGCCAGGAAGACAAAAGTAGATTAAGTTAGAGAAAAGGAAATGATAATGCTGATCCCAGGTAAGAGCTGACACTCAAATTGAGGAATCTGAGAGATTTGGCTAAGAACCCATTGCTTGTAGAAGGAGCTTGGTTAGCAAAGAAGTGGCTTTATTGACTCATTCTGTATCTGTTCTGACCAAAAAAGATTAGTAAGGTAGGAAATGAATTGAATCTGGCATACATGAATGTAAAAGGGTCTGTGTATTATAATAAACCTGACAGGCTCAGTGACCAAAAGTAACCACACAAGATGGTCTGATCACAAATTCCAACTGGGCAGGTCATAGCGGGTAGTTAATATCAGGCTTTATCTTATGAGCTCTGTGTATTGTTCTTAATGCATCTAACTTAGCATACTTTTGAATTGTCAGAGTAAATGAAAGAAGAAAAATGAAAAGACCAGTATGTCTGGAGTACAGTGTTGGAAGGGGTAAGTGGTAACAAAGGAGTCTGGAGGGATAGACAAGGCCCAGATGTATGCTTTGTTAATAGTAATAGTTTTGGACTTTATCAGCCTAATAGCTTTAGGAAGCCACTGAAGGGATTTAGCAAAAAATACTTAATGATGATGTTTCAGCCAGCTGAACTATCCATCCGGGGCAGGTTTTAAAATTTTATCCTAAGAGTAAGGCTTTGAGCAGTTGGGTATATGTGGAGGTGGGAAAAGGAATAGAGAGAATAAAGGTGGACTCTGGGAAACCAGTTAAGAGACTGTTAAAGCAGTGTAGGTAACTTGTATTGGGCTCATAATGGTGGAGATAGGGGAAGATACATGGATTTGAGAGGTCCTCAGCAGACTAAGTCCGCAACTTGGTATCTTGGGCTGTGAGAGAGAAAGCAATCAGATGATTCCTAGGTTTCTGGCTTGTATAATACTGTTTAGATGAATGCTCACTATGAAAAAGTAGAAAATGCAGAATGGTATAAAGAAAATTAAAATTGTCTTCTGCCCTGGCTGGTGTGGTTCAGTGGATTGAGTGACTGACTGTGAACCAAAGGGTCACAGGTTCGATTCCCAGTCAGGGCATGTACTTGGATTGCTGGCCAGGTCCTCATCATGGGGCCTGCAAGAGGCAACCACACATTGCTGTTTTTCTCCCTCTCTTTGTCCTTCACTTCCCCTCTGTGTAAAAATTAATAAATAAAATCTTTTTTTTAATTTCTTTAAAAAGCCCTGGCTGGTGTAGCTCAGTGGATTGAGTGCAGGCCTGCGAAACAAAGGATCGTGGTTTGATTCCCAGTCAGGACACATGCCTGGGTTTCAGGCCAGTTCCTAGCAGGGGACACACGAGAGGCAACTGTACATTGGTATTTCTCTCCCTCTCTCCTTCCCTTCCCCTCTAAAGATAAATAAATAAATAACTAAATCTATAGTCTTCTTTAAAAAATTTCTTTTTGATCCTCACTTGACATTTTGTAAGATTGCGTTTAAAGAGGGGGCAGGGAGGGAGAGAGGAACATCAATGTGAGACAGAAACAACAATTAGTTGATTTTTATAGGCTCACCGATTGGGGACCGAACCCATAACCAAGATGTGTCCTCACTAGGAATTGAACTTGTGACCTTTGGTATTTGGGACAATGCCCAATGAACTGAGTCATACTGGCCAGGGCTCTAAAATATTTTTAATTTACCAACTACTTAGAGATTTACTAAACCACTGCAGTGGCCTGTCTTCTAGTTTTTATTTCTTGGTATAAGTGCATTAACTTTTTTTTCCTCTTTATAATCTGGTAGGAGACAAAATTATGTTTGTTTTCATTTGGTTTTAGCTTCCTAGGAATGACAAGACTGAAATTTATAAAGGAAGTTAGAATAGAAGATATTTTTTGAAACTTCAGTGATCTTTGGTACCCTAAAAAATTCACCCATGCAAGGCCACTGTAAAAAAACTAAGTTCTGATTATAATATTTCTAGCTATAGATTACAGTACCTTCTACCACTCTGATGCTTTTAAAGGAATGGTTTTTAATTTTCTTTCTTGGTTCGGGAAAAAAAATCATATGTTGTGTAAATTTTTTATTGTGGCAAAATATACTTAACATAAAATTGACCATTTATTTGTAAGCGTATGCTCAGTGTCATTAAGTATATTCATAATGTTGTGCAATATCACCCCTAACCCTTTCTAGGAGGTTTTTTAATCCTAAGCAGAAACTGTGTACCTATTAAAGAATAACTCATAATTCTTCTCCCCCCCCAATCCTTAGTAACCTCTACATTACCTGTATGAATTTGCCTAGTCTTGGTACCTCATATAAGTGGTATAATACAATATTAATATAATATATAGTATTTCTTTTAAGTGTGGCTTATTTTCTTTAGCACAGTGGTTTTAAGGTTTGTCCATGTTATAGCATGTATCAGAATTTCATTCCTTTCTGTGGTCGAGTAATATTTTATTGTATCTATATACCACATTCTGTTTATCATTCAGCAATTTGTGGATACTTGGTGGTGTTTCCACCTTTTGGCTGTTGTGAATAATGATGCTAGGAACATTGGTAGGCAAATAAATGTTTGAATCCCTGACTTCAGTTTTTTTGCTTATACTTTGGAAATACTGGATTATATGGTGATTCTGTTTTAACTTTTTTAAGAGTCACCAAACTGTTTTCCATAGTAGTTGTACTATTTCATTTTCCATATGCAATACATGAGGGCTCTAATTTCTTCACATCCTTTCCAACATTTGTTATTTTCCTCTAAAAATTTTTTTAATAGTAGCCATCCTAATGAGTAGAAGTGATATCTTATTATGGTTTTGATTTGCATTTCTCTAATGACAGATGATGTTGGAGCCTCTTTTCATATTCTTATTTGTTGTATATATTTAAAAACATAACTTCTACTTTCTCACTTGATTGGCAAGGATGTGTTGGCTGAAACTGTTGACTTGGCAACCAGCTTTTCCTCATTAAGATTTTTAAAACAAAAATGCTGATCCCCCCCTTTTCTTCTTTTTTAAAGATGGCTCTGAGTAAATCAATGCATGCAAGAAATAGATACAAGGACAAACCTCCTGATTTTGCATATCTGGCATCCAAATACCCAGATTTTAAGCAACATGTTCAGCCAAGTCTGAATGGAAGAGTGAGGTAGGTAACAGATGACGAATTCTTGATACTGTATTATTCTAGTATAATATGAATGGATACAGTGTAGTGGAAAATGTACTGGGCTGATTGTAGACCTAAATGCTAATCCTAGACATTTTATTAAACATCTTATCTGACCTTGGACAAGTCACCCTCTTTGGGTTTCTTTCTTTTAGATTATTTTTTAATCCTCACCTGAGGGTATGTTTTTTTATTTTTTTATATAGAGAGAGAAAGGAAGAGAAATGCTGATGTGAGAGAGAAACATTAATTGGCTTCCTCTCCATACGTACCCCAACCAGGGATCAAACCCTCAACCTTTTGGTGTGTGGGATGATGCTTCAGCCAACTGAGCGACCTGGCCAGGGCTCTGGATTTCAGTGTTTTACTCTATAAAATGACAGGATTGAAGCAAATGTTTTTAAGTTTCCTCCAGCTTAAAAAAAATCGAAAAAATTTCTCGGTATCTAAATTATTTCTTACCCAGAAGAGATCCCAGAGCAGCTGCAGAGACCTTAGAATTGTGCTGAAAAACTTGGTGGCTGGTGAGGGTCTAAAGTCCTTTTTTCAGTGTTATATTGAGGTAGGAAGATAATAACTGTGACATCAAAACTGTGAATTCACAGATATTAGGATGGTACTACAATAAGTCAAAAAGTTGATTTTGAAAAAATTAATAGTATGAGTGCTTCAGGAAATGGTTGACATTAATGATAATGGTATGGGAATGACATGTTGGCAGTATACCCTTCAGAAGGAAATGTTTGATTGCATTCCTAAACTCTAAGTTACAGAGCAGGTGGAAATTCCAAGCGCGCCTAGGGAAAGGTGTATTGATTTAGCTGTGGGGAAAAGGAGGAACAGGATTTGTGAGGAAGACAGAAGGTAAGTGATAGTAGAATTATAGGGCTGACTTCTTCCTTCCTCCTAGCAGTCTTCTTAAGTAATAGAGGTCTTAGGGCAGCACTTAACCTGAGGCTCAAGATACCTTAGAAATCATATAAAAGTGTTTTCAAAATATATATGCATTCATTTTTCTGGGAAATAATCCTTAGTCTTCATAGGATTCTCAAAGTGATCTGTGACATTACCTCCATCCCCAAAAGGTAAGATCAGATGCCCCAGAACCATGTTTTTAAACTTGCTTACTTCATTCAGTGAAAAGTTGAGCACAGCCTCAATTATGAATGCTTGAACTACTTAATATTTATTGATTAACCATTTTGTGCTAAGTTCTAGGAAAGCCATTATAATAAGAAAGACATGTTAGGTATGTATGGGGGCGACTTTGCCCTCCAGTCCCCCCATCCCCCATGGATGAAAGTAAACACTACCAAGACATGATCTGCTTTGGGAGGAGAGGTGCTAAGTTTCTCAGAGGAAAAAGGCCTTGAGCCCCTTCCTCCAGGGGCTTTTATTGGGTTGTAATACACAGGAATACAGGGTGGCAAGGATCAAACAGATAACATTTCAAAGAAATCTGAGGGCTTACTCTGAGTCAGAGTCTGTCAGGAAGGGGGTTTGCAAGAACTTTAGGGTTTCCTGCTCGGACCCTTAACAAAGCACTCTTATCAAAGCAGGTTTTACAGGATTTTTTAGAAGTTCTTTCTTATGCCAGATTTCCCCCATCTGCTCTAGCAAGGCAAGGTGCTGTACTCCTCCCCATCAGGTTTTCAGGCTTAAGTGGATTAGAGCCAGGAAGCACTTCTCCCAGAGGACATGGGGACTCAGGCTATGTCACATAGCTGGGTGGGGACAAGGGTCCATTGCTCGCTCTTTGTTGCAGCCCCCCAAGTCCTTCCATGATGGCCTCCCAAGTGATCAAGTCTGGCTTAGGTTGCTTCTGGCTGTGAGGAGTCTTACCCGTCTCTGACTTCCGACCATACTTTGGGGGCAGGGAGAGGAAACTGAGGCAGCATTCGCTACCAGAGACAAGCCTTTGTCTCCTGTGGCTTGCATTCCGGAGGTCACTGGCTCATCCTTAACCATGGGAGGTAGTTACAATTCCTGAAACCAGGCAGAGTGGTCCCTAACAGGTATGTATTACATGTCACTGAGTTGGCTTCCACTCTTGGTGACCCTGTGAATGAGTGATATCCGCAGTGTCCTCTTCCTAACAGCCCTGCTCACCTCCATAGACTCATTCCTATGGCTTCTTTTATGGAGTCCATCCATCTCATACTTGGTCTCCCTCTTTTCCTACTGCCTTCTGTTTTTTTCCAGCAGTATTGTCTTTTCCAAAGAACCCTGCTTTCTCACAATATGCCCAAAGTAGGACAGCTTCAGTTTTGTCATTTTTGCTTCCAGCAATGTTTCTGTCTTTATTTGCTCTAGAACCCATTTGTTCATTTTTCTGGTGATCCAGGGTCCTTAGAGCTTTCCTCTAACACCATATTTCATGTGAATCAATGTTTTTATCATCCTTCTTCATTGTCCAGCATTCATATCTGTACATAGTAGTTGGGAATACGAAAATGTGGGTGTTCTCTGATGACACATTTGTTCCTGGTGATCTTTCCTAATTCTTCCATTTCTGCCCTTCTGAGTCTCAGCCTTTTTTTGGTTCTTGGCTGTAGTCTCCATTTGAATTGATGACTGAACCAGTGTAAACAAAATCATTAATATTTTAGTATCTTCATTGTCAACGTTAGAGTTGTATATTTTTTCTGCTGTCTTGATTTTTGCTTTGATGTTCAAGTTCAGTCCTTTGGCACTTTGTATTTCACTTTCATGAGAAGTTGTTTCAAATCATTGCTACTTTCTGCCAGTAAGATAGTGTTATCTGTATATCTTAAGTTATTAATGTTTATTCCACCAGTTTTCACTTTTTATCCTGAGTCTGGCCCAGTTTTTTTGTATAGGCTTTTCCAAAGATTTCAATAGGAAAAGAAAGGCAAAAAAAAGAAGAAGAAAGGCATTGTCACTGCCATATTTGGAGTTTACACACTAGTGGGGGAAGTATATGCATAAACAAGCAGTTAACCTTGTTTGCCTCAACGTGGTAGAATCTGAGGGGTGCAGTTGAATCACATAGGAGGAAGACCTGACCCTGACTTTAGAATTTAGAGAACCATTTGAAACAGAAGTGGTATTCTGGTTGAGTTCTGAAGAATGAATAGGAGTTACTTAGGTAGCAAGATGAGTATTATAGGCAAGGGGAGCAGCATGTGCAAAGAGCACTGAATAGTAGCAGAATTGCTAAGTTGAACATGCCTAGCATGCAGTAGACAAATGACAGGAAATGGGGCTGGGGAGAATTATGCTTGCAGTACTTCATAAGGCCCAGTGAGGAGTTTGGAATTTATCTTAAGGACATGGTGTAGAAAGTTCTTGTGTCTTCAGAGTTATCTATCCCAGTACTTATCCACTGAAGTTGTTTTTTTTTCTTTTAATTCTTACCTGTGAATATGTTTATTGATGTTAGAGACAGGAAGTGACAGAATGGGGAGAAGCACATCAATTGGTTGCCTGCCATACATCCCCTGACTGGGAATCAAACCCGCAACCTTTTGGTGTACTGTACAACACTCCAGCCAACTGAGCCACCCTACCAGGGCTCCCCTAATTTTAAAGGAGGGGAATAACATGTTCAGAATTGTGTCAGACAGTGTATTCTAGGAGCATTGTGAAAGATGGATTGCAGGGGGAATTAAGATTGGAGGTACAGGAAAGTAAGTAGAAAATGGTTTTAATAATCCAAATTAGATACATTGGTGGCTTAACTAGGTAGAGACAATAGGAATAGAGATCACTGGATGAATTTGAGAGAAATTCATGAATAGAATTAGCAGGACATACTAGAAATTAAGAAGTAGGAGCCAAGTATGGTTCTCTCGATTTCAAATTTGCAAGAGGCTATGCAGTAGTGCCATTTACTGAAGTAGGGTCCAAAGGGGAATGAGTTGGTTTAGGGGAGATGATATTTTCAGTTCCCAGCATATATAGAGGGAGAAGTCTGGGATATTCAAGTGGAGTATTTTGTAAGCTATTAAAAATAGTAGTCTGAAGAGGGACACATAGGTGACAGGGGGGTGGGGGGGAGGTGTTAGTGAAAGCCCTGGGTCTTTGAACTGAATACTGAAGGATGAATAGAAGCAAGGGGGAAAATTCCAAGTACACGGAACAGAATTTTGTGAAAGGCATGGTAAGTTTGGAGAACTGCGTGTAGATGGAGCTCAAATGGATATAGGACAGCGGATTGAGGAATAAAAGAAGATGAGACTGAAAGGAAAACAGAGCAAGTGACAAAGACCCCTTCATAGCATGCCATAGAATGGACCTGATTGCTTAGACATTGAGGAACCAGAGAAGGATTTTTAAGATGGTTATAATTTTGAAGATGGTTTGAGATTTATATTAAAAAAAAATAACCCAGAGAGACCAAACAGATCTGTTATCATAACCTTTCTGAATAGACATTTTTTAAATAAATATTTGTTGAATCATGAGAATAATTTCTTTATAAAATCTACTTGCCATTTACATATGGCATACCTAAAACAAAATTACAGATAAATGAAAACAGGATGGGCAGAAATATACTAGGCAAATGAGAGTTCTCTCCAAATCTGAAAAAGCAAAAAAAAAAAAAAAAAACCCATAAAATTGGAAAAGCTACTGTTCATATTGATAAAAGACAGTTTTCAAATAAGATTTTAAAAGGAAGACTTTTAGCATTTTGAAAAATACTTCTATAACAGAAATATTTTTTTAAAGTGTTTGATGTAATTTGGAGACATTTTTCTTTGTATTTCTACCCAAATAGAAATACTTGGTTAGAAATACTGTTAACTGTTAACCAAACAGTATCTTAGTTAATAACCAAAACAATATTTTGGTTAATACCCAACAGTATTTGGTTAATACTATAACTAAAAATAAACAGAGAACAATGGTCTTAAGATACTTCCAGAGGATCCATGAAGGCTACAAAGACAGTTATATAAAAATATTTACTTTGTGTATGTTCTTTTTCTTTTAAGATTTCATTTATTTATTTT